AGGTCGTTCAACAATATCCCAACTATGAGTTTTCTCAAGAGCCTGAACCTCTTCTGCCATTGCTTGCTACTACATAGGATTAGAGACAGCTTCACGAAAATTTTGAGGTTCGTGTAATGTGGCTAAAGCATAATCATAGTGAAAATCATGAAGTTGAGTGTTGAGTTCTCTTACCCTGGTGGAACGACGAAGTGGAGGTGGTATGTATGGTGAAGGGACAACTGTATCAATAGGAGCCTTAGTCAGATTAGACATGTTAGCAGTGGAAGAAGGTAGATCACTGTTTGAGTTAGATGTACCTATAATAGTCTCCTCATTTGAAGAAAAATTAAAAGATGAATCTATAAAAATACATGGAGAATAACATGTTGAATGTAATGAGAACACATTAGTGAACTTTTTATATTTTCAAAAAACTACATGTCTTGAGATGCGAAAATGTTTAAACACTAGATCATAACACTTATACCTCATGTGTTCTATACCATAACCCAAAAAACAATACAATCTAGCTCTAAGTTCAAGTTTAGTCCTTTCATGAGTAAGAAATAAAACAAAGCAAGCACATCCACAAACTTTGAGAGAATGGTAATCAAGTACCTTATTGTATGAACACTCATAAGGAGACCGTGTTCCTAATACTTGTGTGAGAACATATTTAATAATGTAAATAGCAGTGAGAACAACGTCACCCCAAAAATGTTCAAGAAGAGAAGAGGAAATGAGAAAGGCATGAGCTGTGTCAAGAATATGACAATGTTTTCTTTCAGCTCAACCATTTTCTTATGAAGTATATGGGCAAGACTTATGAGGAAGAGTCCCATCATCCTTTAACAAGTTATGAAACTTAATTTCTGTATATTTAGTAGCATTATCAAACCTGAAGATTTGTACTTTTCTAGAAAATTGAGATTGCATCATGTTATTGAATTCACGAAAAAAGGTTAAAAGTTTAATTTTTTGTTTGAATAAATATATCCAAGTATAACAAGAGAAATCATCAATAAATATAACCAAGTAACCTGAACTTCCTAAGGTTGGTGTGAGAACTGGACCCCAAATATCAGAATGGACTAAATCAAAAGGAATAGATGAGATAGAATCACTTTTATTAAAAGGTAAAGCACTTTGCTTTTCAAGTTGACAAGACAAACAATAAAAAATATTATGAGAAACATTACCTAAGACACCAGTGGAAGCAAATGACTTTATTCGAGAAATAGATGCATGTCCTAGCTTAGAATGCCAAAAATATAAAGAAACTAAAGAGTTGGTTTTTTAGATGTAGCAGCAATAATCAAATGTTGTGGAATTTTCAAAGTTTCAAGCTCGAACAGTGTTCTAACCTTACGTCTTGTCTCAACTTTCTGACCTATTTAAGGATCTTACACAATACAACCATATTGTTGTGAAAAATGTAAATCAAGACCAAGATCACAAAGTTGGCAAACAAAAAGCAAATTTAAGGCAAGATTAGGAACAAGATAAGTGTTAGATATACATAGTTTTGAGGTTTCAATTTTATCGATGTGACTAGCTTTTAAGACAGATCCATTTATTATTTTAATGATTTGATCATTAGGTATAAGTATCTTGCTTTTGAAAAAAGAAAGATCACCAATCATATGATTTTCACAGGCAGTATGAAACAACTAAACATTACCTGATATGGCAGCAGATATGACAAAAAAATGAGATTGAGAGAATATTTAATTGAGCAAAGTTTGAAAATTAGTGGTAGAGATTGTAATGGTCTTAAAAAAAGACTTAAAAATGTTTTGTTTAGTGATTGTTTCCACGGTAGTCTTGTCAGTGCGAGAATCATGAATTATGCGAGAATCATGAATTAGACTATCGTTACGATGATAATTAGCTCAACATTTTTGAACGGGATGATTAGTCCTTTCACATCATGAATAAGACTTGTGGAAAATAGAGTTAGTATTTTTTTTTTTAGGAGCAGTAGCAATAATAGTATCAGCACTATGAGTTTGACTCATACCCAATCAAGTTTCCTCATATATCAATTTCATAAGGCATTATCCATAGCTGGTAAAGAATCTCAACGCAAAAGTGAAGACTTAATATTCTTAAATTCATCTCGAAGTGCCATTAAAAATTGAATAAGATGAATTTGATTTCGATAAGTAATAAAATTACCAGCATCACTTTTATCCTTGAATTCTGACTCAAAATTTTCAAGCATATCTCATAAATGTTACATAAATGTTACATGTTTAGAATGAAAATAATCAATTGACTGACCTAGTTCTTGATGAAGGCGAGATAAATTGGTCAAAATATGATATTGATGAACAAAGGTAGTAAAGCTATACCATATGGCAAGAAAATACCAAGCATATTTTACCAAGTTCAAATAGCCCAAAATGTACATTGACAGAAAGAACAGTAGTGTTAGTGAACCATGTCAAAATTTGATAATCCTTATTTTCTCGTTCTTCTAACCGATTCGCAAATTTATCATCAGATTCTTTTTTTTTTCTTTTTGGTGCTTTGCGTTCTTCAGTAACAACTAGCCATAGTTTTATTCCTTTTAGACAATCACATATAGCTGTAGCCCACCTATTATAGTTATTTTCATTAAGGATAATTGAAATTGGTTTTATAGTTTTTTGTTGAATACTTGCCATTAAGCTCTTGAAAAAAAAATGAAATGGAGATGTAGGAAGTTATGAGTATTGATATAAAAGATGAATCTTGATGATGGGATGAGAAACCTAAAAAAAAATTGAAAGGTGGAACCAAAAATTAAATTAGAAATGAAAATCAACCAAGGATAAGAGGAGCAAATATTGGTTATTTCAAGGTGATTCACCTTCAGAATAAACTATGAAATCACTCTGATACCATGTTAAGCATTTAACTTCAAACCGATTGGTGGTAAGCAGAGGGACTTAACTTGAATATAAGACTATAAAAAATTAGATACTTATTGGATGTGGATAACATCACACTAACAGGACCCTATCTCGTGTAGGCGAAGATGAAAAAAGCTTATTACTATAATATTACTAGAATAATATCATCACTCTAGAATATTACCAGAATATTACTAAAATATCATTAATAAGGTCCAGTCCTTCATGAGATTTTGGGTCATTGTCTTCATAGTCTTGGACATTAATGAAGAACTTTCTGGCAAGGCCCTTCTCAAAAAGCTACATCAATGGTGATTTCCGTGCTTCGATACATCTTACGATAATTTTTGTAAGTTGTTGTAGACGATAGAACAATGTTAATTTGCACTAATGTTTAGAAGCAAATGATACCAAAAATTACAATACCCTTACTTTTTGTACACAAAACTACCATCCACGGCCTTGAAGTTAAGATACTTGGCAATATCTGTGTGGATGAGAATACGTACCAGACTGCCATTGGCCACCATGAACTGTGAAACCAAATTAAGCATTCACCATATAGGATGACTAACTAGCAAAAAGATGGCATACTCAACATTGGTAAATAGTTAGCCACTGGACATTTTAAACACACAGTGCACAAGACAAATAGAAGGAAATTGCTGAATTTATAGTAATCCAGATGCAAAAAGAAATGCAGTTTCAATTACATATAATTAAGTACATTACAAAAACCAAAGCATATACAGATGTTTCATAACCTTCAAAACATATATGAAGTGCAACCTAAAATATGCATCCAACATGCAATTAAGTACTGAAAACTACAAAAATAACATAGATAAATTTGGTTACGGGTTAGTAATAGAGAGGTCAAAAGAAAAAGTTAGTTGCATGCCTTGAGAATCATGTCAATATTAAATTCCCTGCTATTGTGGAGGCTTGTCATCTCTCCTGAAATGGTTCCAAAGCTATAGAGCAGCAGAAAGACATAATTCAGAAATGGGTAAGGGAAATGTAGATTAACCAAATAGGCAATAGCAAGGAATTGTTTTACTGAAAAGGTTAAAAAAAAGTCCACCATTTGATCAAATTAAAAAAGAATGACCTCTATACAGATAACATGTCATTTCTGTCCTTGTGCAATACCCGTTTTGAAATGAAGATATCCAGATAACAGCTAATGATCAATGCAGAATTTATAAGATTTTAACCTTCCTTTGAACCACCTTAAGCAACACTCAGAAACTAATTCCCACCACATTCAATATTAATTCCTATCTAAAAATTTAAGTACTGCTTCCAAAAAAAGAAAAGAAAGGCAAAAAGTTGGGTGCCCATGATGCCTAAAAGAAAACCCAGATTGCTTTGAAACATGAAAACATAGAAATTAAACAAAGAAAGAAGAGTCCATCAATCAACGGTGACCTACTTTGAGTCCATCAACGGAGAGAAGACCACTGAGAATGCATTCCTTAAGGCTGGTCCCTAGGATTATCACATCCATTTCAGTTTTCTTTTCTCCTGAGAGAGAGAGAATGTATGGGAACTGGGAAGTGAAATGAAAAGGGAAGAGAATAGAGAGAGAGAGTTAGGTTATTGTGTGTTTTGAGATTGGAGCAGGTCTTCAGCAGAAAGTAAAGAGATTATGGCTTTCGGAAAGTACTAAATTCACGCTATTTAATGCGCGTGTGATGCATTAGAGAATTTCTGGAACAACACGTGGATGGACAGTCCCACTTTTTCATAGGCGTTGCGTCCATGCGTTGGAGAATGGAGTGAGTGGACCTCGTTTCCATCCAGTTTTTCCCGCATGACTTTCTGTCTAAAACCCAGAGAAGAGAGAGAGAGTTTTGTTATCCCTTATTTTCCCAGTTTTGACTTTGTTTTCTTTTTAATTGTTTCAATTTTAATTAAAGAACAAGAGAGTGTAGGCAAAGAAACAAAAATAGAAAAAAAGAAATTTACAACCATATCTTTTTGAAGTGATTGGATGTATAAAAGTCACGATATTCTTCTCCAGGAACATGGCTAATTGAGATGGTTTCCATTCAGCTCCAGCTAGTTTTTACAATATGCATAACAAACTCAACATTATATATAACATGAATCCGCAGCTTTTTCCAACACTTCGACCCTACCTTTAATTCGTACTTATAACTCATCTTTATACACTTAACTAGGCATGCGAACCCAGTTTTATTGTTATTTTCTCCAAAAACAAATTACCACTCAATATATAAACTCCATTAGTTGCAATAATAAATTGGTTATAAAGATAAATACATTATACATATAGGAGCCAGGTGCTATATTTACTGCTCAGACATGCATTTAAAGATGAGATTATGCCAGAGGATGATCACTTCTTGACATCATCCTCTCTAGCCTTTCAACACTCAGTTAGGGAAAGGTAACCTGCAAAAGGCATTCGAAGATACACTCAGGCAAAGCTATAGCAGTAATGGAAGCAAGTCTTTTGCAATACCAACTAGGCTTAAATTATAGTGATATAATACGAAAATATTACGGAGAAAGGCACAAAAATGACATAGTTAAAATTTTAATAAAAATTATATGTGAGCTTAATAAAATAAAAGTATTATGTGTGTTTAATATCTATACGAATTGTGACATAATTTTTACGTAAAAAATAATATAAATACATCAATTGTCAATAAATGTAACGTTCATGGATGTTACATGACTTACCCCAATCTGAGAGAAATGTCAGAGCTATTATAGCCTTGAGCAGGATCTGCAGAGCTGTGAATATGGGCAATGGACTCTGATGGTTGGCCTTGCTGAGCTACAACAGCTTGGACCATACGAGGTAAATTCTCCATCTACCAAAAAATTAAATTTCCTGTCAAATGAAAGGCAGAAACAAGAAAGTTTTGGAAACGAGAACACTCACTTGCTGTTTCAGTTGCTGGTTTTCTTCCATCAGTTGTGCTCCCTTCACATTCAACAAGTATAAAGAATTAAGATTGAGAATAAACAAAGCACAGTGGATCTTTTTACGATTACAATCATTGAATACAGAAGCAGGTACAGTCAATTGTTTCTGTGCCGTTCTATGTTTTTATTATATCAGTTCCATTGAAACATTCCACCATTGCCTAATTGCTTCACACGTTTAGTTTCTACCAATTTATTTTTTCTAAATAGTGAAATTAAGTTACATTATAAATTAAGCAAGCAAAATTGTCGTGTTCTATATTTGATATCATCCAATAATAATTTATTCCACTATGAAGCTTAGACAAATCCTATCAACTGTGTTGCAAGTTAGCTATGTATATCACCTTCCTCTTGAGGGTGCTGATTTCTTTAAAAAATCGCTCATCCTGAAACAAAAATGTTTCATCATTAGTTAGATCACAAATCTACAAAATTTTCACATGACATTATTATACATCCACTAACGGCGAAAACAAAACTTAAAAGGGGGAGGATAAGGGCTGAGTTGGAGGAGATGAGACTTTAAAAACCTTTGTTTCTATAACTCGTCTCAGGCTTCCTTCCAGTAATTTCTCTAGGTTTTTCAATTCTTCTAAGTTTAACCCTTGGAGCTCCTCTCCCTTCAGCTGTCTACCAATGAAAGGATCACACAGCATCATCATGAAAAATTCATATATCGAAATGGAAAAATAGCAAATATTCAGATTTACCTCAGTTCTTGGGTCTTTTCCGCCATTTCCTTGCTCAACATGGCATATGTGCTACTCTCAAGCTAAAACAAAACAAAAGAGCAGCTTCTTCAGCATAAAAAGGTTTTCACTTTCTAAGTAAATAGGAATAAAAATGAGCAGGCATTTTCAAGGGAAACTAAATCTAAATTCGAATGTGCTACAGGAAGACGCATTTTCATGGACCAAAATTCTTGCTCCTATTTTTCATACAGTACTATTTATACAAGAAGTTCAAAGTTAAAACGTTAAGATGCTAGTTTCACACAATATTTAATACTCTCATCAAGATTCAAAGACTGCAATTTCTTGTCACATTTGTTCGTTTGGATTATATATATATATTTGAAAATTAAAGCAAGGTCAATATCCTCAGGTACCTGAACTGAGTATCATGGTGAAACGACTTAAATCCAGTAGCAAATGAGTAAACCAACAGGTATATTTAGATGGCAGCAATGGATTGGAAAATCAAAATCAAAACTCTGGGAAAAGAATAATATTGTTCTTTAGGTATGTTATATTGAACAGTGATTTATACTGTTTACTATTTTAATATCTACAATAATCCAGATGAGCTTCTCAAGATAAGAAGGCTTATTAATCCACTTAATTGATAATTGAAATACATTTAACTTGTAATTTTTTTTATATATTTATCATAATAAAAAAAGATAGCAGCAGCAACCTTCATTGAATGTTACTACAAACAACAAGAAAAGAATAAAAGTTCTTGTAACCTGCAGCTCAAGAGATGGAATGGGATCCAATCTGTCAATCCTTTCTGACTGCAGATTGCGCCTTTCAATCACCTGCCTCGAACTTGGAATAACAACAGAATGGCACAGAGTCAGTAGAAGAACAACCTTGTCTCAAGACCAAAAAAGCAGATGATATTTGATTTACAATGAAGCTGAAGGTTTAAGGTACACTCCCGTTTGTAGGCACACCCCCTATTGGACTTCAGGAATAAGCGTTTGATATATTGCAACAAAACTAGGGTGACCTAAGGGACAAATTCTCAGTGTTTTTCTGACCAAATATAATGCATAAAAAACATGGAAAGGCAAGCCAGTATGTATGTTTGCAGAGACAATCTTCTCTTGCTCTAGTTCAGGGTTCCTTGCCAGCAACAAGTACGAGTGCAATAGTACTCATAGAAAGGCATTATATATATATATATATATAAATAAATAATCCTTAATCATTGCTAATAAAAGCACCCTCTTCAAATTATCTTGATTCAGTCTACTTATCAAAGTTACTCTTCTTCCCCATTATTTAATCTGCCTCTCATTCTTTTTTATTCTACTGTGTCTAAGAAATGACTTTTGACAGTTGTTCAAATATTTTTGATCATGTCTATTTTTTTTCTTTTGGATAATTAATACTCTCTGCTAATTCTTATTTGTGTGTATACTGATTCGCTGTGTCAAATTATATCAATTAAATCATTATTAATCATCTTATACCATATTTAATTTGTATTTAAAGAAAAGAATAGTATTACAAGGAGAATTAATCATTCTCTTAGCATAGGATGATTCAATTCTCCCAAAATAAAGAGAATTATTTTTAATCCATGAGATTGAACTTCCATATCCTATCATACCCTTAAAATTAAATCAATAATTTAAATTTATAAATTTTTAAAAAAGATAATTTTAACCAATAAATAAAACTATCATATCCTAATCCTTACTCATATCAAATAGAAGATTTGATGACATTATTTAATCTAATTCTATTCATAATATCATCTTATCCTATCCTATCATAATCTTATGTACCAAATATACCTTTAGTATATTGAGCCATTTTATTGGTGAATAATAAACATAACTTTTAATATATGAACTTCAAAGTGCCAATGTTCAGCCACCATGTCATGTCAATGGTGAATATTAAACAATGAGTTACTCAATTTAGCTTCACACCAAAAAGAATTACTCAATTTAGCTAGACCTACTTTTCACTCAAAAGGCAAGTAGTTTGTTTCATTCTCTGGTTTACTTCTCTTGAATTTAAGAAGCTAAAAAATCTTATTCCATCTCTGATCATAAACGTGCTCATGATGATTGCGAAGCTAAAGAAAGATAAAAATGTATTAATGTAGCAAATAAATAGTTTCTAAAATGCTCCTAAAGCATAAAAAACTAGCCAACAGTCGCATGTCCTGTTGGTAAAATATTAATCTCTTAGTCCTACTGATCAGTGTTCAAATGCTGATAATCTCAAGTAAAAAAAAAAAAAAACAAAAAGCGTAAATAACTAAGTGTTTGGAGGTTATAGATCTTCGCCTACTCATGCATCCCAGAAGGGTGCACAAGCAACTAAAACTAAAAGTCCACGGGTAAAAGAAGATTGCCCTTATGACTAAGAAAGAAGCGGATGGTCATATATATTGGCAAGGCCGGAAGGATACACTGTAAGTGAATGTATTGATGTTTTTGATGATAGCAAATGCTTTTATCAATCATGCTTATGAAAATTTGCATCCTGTATATTGTTTGCCATTGAGTAACCTTATAAACAAATGCCGAAAACCACCTATCTACTTCTATTTTGAATAGTCTCAATTTTATTCAAATACCGTGTGGCCACCAATTATTGAAAGCATTTATAGTTGATGCATTGACATTGCATCAAATATAAACCCTTATTAAAACTCCAATTCTTTTCTCTCCCCTTTCTTTAGATACATAAGAGAAATTGATAATTTAAACTCGAGCTGTTTTATAGAGAAAAGGTTAGCTCAAACTAGAATTTTAAAACATTACTTGAACCTGTTTTATGCACAATTAAAAAGTTCCTAAAAGGTAATTACCTTTCTTGATTTTAGATTAATCTTAAATATTCTTAATTAACTTAGGGATGCCAAACATAAATGTCTCTGCTATGCATGGCCCCATTTTGTTTCACAGTTTGAATGTTTAAGAATCAAATTGAATTTTGTTTTATCCATGTCCCATTTTATAGCTTCATTTTTTTATGAAATTACTAGTAAAAAATTTATATTCAAGTATTACATTTCATATAAGAAATCAATGAATTAAATGAAACAAACAAACCACCGAACCCATATAACTAGATAAATTCCATATAAAATTGAATCAAATCCACGAATGATGAGACTTTTATCCATTACTTGAACCTGTTTTATGCACAATTAAAAAGTTTCTAAAAAGTAATTACCTTTATTGATTTTAGATTAATCTTAAATATTCTTAATTAACTTAGGGATGCCAAACATAAATGTCTCTACCATGCATGGCCCCTTTTTGTTTCACAGTTTGAATGTGAGGATCAGATTGAATTTTGTTTTATCCATGTCCCATTTTATGTTTTCATTTTTTTATGAAATTACTAGTAAAAAAATTATAATCAAGTATTACATTTCATATAAGAAATCAATGAATTAAATGAAACAAACAAACCACCAAACCCATTAGTACATAACTAGAAAAATTCAATATAAAATTGAATGAAATCCACAAATGATGAGACTTGAACCTAAAACTTTCAAATTCCAAGATCTCTTCCTTGCCACTAAGACAAGAATTCATTAGCTTATAGTTTCATGCATGCTGGCCATTTAATTTGTAATTTCTTGTTGTTTGGAGATTCACACATGAGACCTACATTTCATTTAAAATTTGCACAGAGTTGTTTTAGTTGGTACAGTATGCATTACTTCACCAGTGCTCTAAGAAGTAAGAACCTAATAAGCTATATGGAGAAATTTGGTTTGCAACATGATCATTTCTTCAAATTATTCATTTGTTAGAGTAAGTTGACAATATGTATCTATTATGACTCAAATTTAGAATCTCAACCTCTGAACAAAACTCATTATGTAGCAATATGCAATGATTCTATAGCTAAGCATCTTTAAATTAACTCCAAGAGAGATGTTAGTTTGATGTATTGTGTATATTATTGGACTTGATAGTGATAGTAAGTTTTAGGGTTTTACATTTAAGAAAATTGGGAATAATGTACAAGGAAAAGACCAGGATTCTACAGGAGGATACTTGAGGCTGGTTTTGACATAAAAAATTTTGGACATATGAATCTACTATAAAAATTTTAAAAGGTAAATGACGGTATTAAAGCTACTATTGACAGTTTTCCTTTTTCGATAGTTTGGAGGAAGGGGATTTGAGTTTGGTCACCCTTTTAAAGTAAATGTATGGTATGTATGGCAACTATTGAGGTATGCCTTCACCATACATACATACATACATATATATATGTATATCAATATATGCATACATATACGTACATATATACATAGATAAAAAAAAATTTTCACTGACATGACTTTAGTATGCAATGATTTCATTTTCAAGCTCCATTTGTGTTGATGTAAAAATCACTTAAGGAAAATATAGTGCCATTTTTCATGTCCCTGATTCAATGCAAGTTTACTTACAATATCCACAAATATACAAAAATATCTCTCATACCCTCAAATTGTCCTTCAAATTCTTTTTTCTTTTTTAAATCAGTCTCCTTTTTTTAGTCTTAGTATCTTGTTTTTAGCTTTAAATATATCCTCTTCGTTCTTTAATAAATTAAGTCTAATAATATAGATATTATATAAATATTCCTAGTATTAAATTACTTACAAATCATTGCCTTCCTAATAAATTTTCCTTGTTCAAGAAAGATTACCAGATCCCATCTTTTACACAATTAATTTTATTGCACTTCATTAGATTTTTTTTCCTTTTAATTTGAAACAAGAATAAATTAAATGAAGAGAAAAGAGAGGCAAAAAGGGATCACATCATATGTCCTTAGATATCTTGATCATCTATGCCATGGGATCATATCCATGTGTAAGATGGAATCTCACAATGTACAAATGAAGTACAAAAATTTATAAGAGTATATAATTTTTTAAAAAATAAAATGATTTCTTCATTAATTCTCCCATAAAGAGCCATCTTCTCACTATTTCATTAGTAAAACTTTGACCATATATATTAACAAAGGCAAATCAACTTATCCTTAGGGTTAATGTTATAAATAATTTCTAAAATATAGTGAGATGTTTAATATAATACCTAAAATTTAAAAATTTTTAATGTGATGCTTAGATATCTTCATCATCTATGCCAAAGGATCAAATCATGAGTAAGATGAAGCCCCGCAATGTATAAATAAAGTACAAAAATTTATAATAGTATATAATTTTTTAAAAAATAAAATAATTTCTCCATTAATTCTCCCATAAAGAGCCATCTTCCCATTATTTCATTATTAAAACTTTGACCATACATATTAACAAAGGTAAATCAACTTATCCTTTGGGTTAATATCATAAATAATCCCTAAAGTATAGTGAGATGTTCAATATAATATTTGTTGGTAGTTTAGAATGCGGTGCATCTTACATTGGATAAAAGATTTAATTATTGATGAATAAAATTAATTTTTATATTAATCTTATTCATATTTTAAATAATGATGTTTGAATAAAAACAAGTATCATATGACAAATGGTCATAACTATTTGAATATAAATAGATTATTATTCATAAAGGTCATGTTTATATAAAAGGTAATAACCATCTGAATAGAACTTTATGTCTGTTTATTCATTATAAATAAATCTTTCAATATAACCATTTTCACTACTTTTGATTGGAAAGTTTGAAACTTCGTTGTATCCTAAAGGCATAACTACCTTTAAGAAAGTGTTCTCCATGCCTCAAACCCAAAATTCTTTTATATTATTTCTCTTTTCTTATTTATTTTTTCTACCAATACCTAAAGTTTAAAAATTTTTAATATGATACTTGAACTATGAATTAATTAACTAATATGGTACTTACCTCTAATGTGGCTAACTTCAAATAATAACATGCAACAAACAAACAACCCTTAAATACCACATTAGTTAACAAATTCATAATTTAAGTACTACATAAAAATTTTTAACGTTCAAGTACTATATTAAATATTTCACTATAGGGATTATTTATGACATTAACCCTTATCCTCATTTACAAAAATATTAAATCTTCAATTCATGCTTACTTTCAATTCTTCTCCATTATATAAATCTTGATTGATTGATCTAGCATCTGGATTCACCAGTCCTGTAAATCACTCAACTAGATCCATTACCTTCTCTTGTTTATTTTAGGACTTTAGTTTATTTAGAAACTTACTTTAGCAGATAGTTATTTTAAAAGGCCATTTTCTAATTAATTTGAAGAAATAACAAAAGAAAATAGAGATAAAAAGAAAAGAAAAAAAAAGAAACAGCCACACAGTCTACCTAGAAAGCTAAGATAGTACTTTCCTGCACATAGATTACATAAACATTTCAGGGTTATCAGGTTTTCTTATATCCCAAATTTTTACTCTCAAGATCACATCACTACTTGTACCTCAGTAGAAATCTTTGCCATAGGTTAAGTTCTTGTAGTGAGATAGGCACAAAAAGGAGCCAATTGATCACTGATAGAGCAACAACTTGTGCTTAATTATGTAGAGGCTAACACTCATCATCCTTATAACATCATTAGCTGTCAATTTGCATGTACTAATTGCTGTAATTTATACAATCTAGTTGTTTAATCATGTAGATTATGCAAAATAGAAAAGATTTGTTCATTATCCAATTAATTTCATCGTATAATATCAAAATCAAGAACATAAACTAGCTAGTTAATTTCTGAAAACTTTTTTGGACCATTTCTCCACAGTTTTTAAACTACTATGACGAATTCACATATGTTCTTTGTCATCAACAAGATCAAACCTCACCTTCTTTTTATCTATCTGCCTTCGAACTTAAGTTTTGATTCTAATACAGTAGCAGATTTTTAGTATGGCATTGGTCACTAGGTAGGATCCCTATATTTTATGAGCATGTCTTAAGAGACTAAGGTGTTAAAGAACATTGGTAGGAAGATTTAAATCATAGGATTTCTTTTATTTAAGGTTATCATGAATTGAACTTTGATCACTACAACTAAAACTCCAGCATTTTGCTAGCATATCACATGATTTTGGGCAAATTCTTGATAAAATACAATCACCTTTCGGATTAAAAAGAAAAATGAAAGGTAAAGATCAGTGTTATATATATCCTAGTTGCACCAGCAAAGATATAAGAAACATCATCTGCCTAGCCAGCTGATCGGGAATAAAATATGGCTGAAACAAGATTCAGGAAAGTCCGAGGTAGCATCAACAAACATCAGACTTTCAAGTGAAACTATCGCCTCTTACCCTTAGTTTCTGGCATAAATTAAAGAAGTCTTTTTTGAATAGAAATATGAGATTCTAGTACATTAAGTCATTATGAATTTATACTTTGTACAGTTCCCTTGATTAGAAAGATCTTTTAAAAGCAACATTATCTCTTCCTCTCACACTCACCCAGGCACATTCAACACAGTAATTTACGGGCAAGCAGAGATTTCTACATATAAATTAAACCAGGGATAGAGCATAGGAGAGAAGGGAGAAGGAGAGCAAACCTTGTGCTGGAGTATTCAAAGAGCTTTCCGGTGGCTGAAAAGACTAGAAGTGCTATCTCAGCATCACAAAGAGTGGAAAGCTCTTGAGCTTTCTTGAAAAGGCCTCTTCTCCTCTTAGAGAAAGTCACCTGCCTCGCCGCAGTGTTGTCAATCTTCTTGATCTGAATTTTCTGTCTCGTCATTCTCTTCCAGCGAAAAATTTTATCTAAACCTTTCAAAGAAAATCAAACCAAAGCATCAAGGAAACAAGGACAACCAATATTCTAGGGAAATAACCAAAGAAACATAAGCAGTTCTTCTGAAAGAGATAGAGAGAGGGGGCTTTAAAGGGAAATATTAAAAGGGAAAAGAAGATGGGCTTCATACAAGAACACAAAAATTTAATCAAAACATCAGAATCCGATTGAACAGCTGATCACAAAAGGAAATGCCAAGCTCCGGGGTAATTACCAAGATTTGCAGACAACTACAAGTATATCTAGAGAAAGAGAAACAGAAAGAGCCAAGATTCATATCGACAAATCAAACGTTGTTGAGAAGCAAAAATCCTAACATTAACCCTCCAGGAACAGCAATAATAAAAAAGTACTGTACTACCTTGTTGAGAAGCACACAAAAACACAAAACAAAAATGGGTGTTTGGTCAAAAGAAATCAAACAAAAAAAAAGTAATTCTCACCTCAAATCGAGTAAAATACAAGAGAGAAGCAAGTGTAAGCACTGAGAATATGTTTCTGCATATGGAAAATGCACAGAAAAGAATCTGGGATATAAATAGCAAAGATATAAAATGGGGTCACTGTAGGATAAAGAGCTTAGTTGCAGCACTTTTTTTTTTAATTAAGGCAGCATAATCAAGAGACTATATACAAAAAAAAAAAAAAAAAAGAAAGGGCATCAAGAAGGAACCATTAAAACCAACCCTAGATGGAAAAAGATATACCAGTAGAAAGAAGAAGCATACAGTTGCAAAAGAGGGGAAAAAAAAAGAAAATGGTTGAAGAATAAAAAAAAAAAAAAACCTACCAATCCAAGCTCATTTAGTATGGAAAATGGAACAAAGTGGGAACAAAAGAAGTATGGAATTGGTCAGAATTTATGGTTTTCTCATAAATTGATCTTTGCTTTTATTTTTAGTTTGGTCGTTCCTTTAGGTGCTGGTGATGACACTTTCACACAGAACCAGATACAAAGCCACCAATTATTTCCAGAGAGAGAAAAAATGGAAAGAAAGAAAGAAAAGGAAAAGACAGGGAATGAGGAAAGATATAGAAAGATTCCTTTTATGTCCCAAACAAGAAGGGGTTAGCTCTGCAAAATAATTTACTATTGGTGAAACATGGTAATAAAAAAATAATTTTCTTTTGCTGGTGGAAAAGGAAACTAGATTTTTATTTTTATTTTTTTATACGGTGGAGTTTTGGTTTTTCGTACAGCTGGACCATGCTGATCGTAGTCAGAAAATTATGACTCATTTGTACCCTCGTACCAGTCAGTTCTTCAAGGCTTCCTCTAAATCCTTCTATGTATTTAGTTCTCGTTAAATTTTACATAGGATAGGGTATAAATATTATATATTTTTAATTAATTATATAATAATTTATTAAAAAATATATTTAAAACTATTATTTTACAAAATATAAATTTATTAATAATGCATAATGTTTGTACATTAATATTACTTCAAATATGTATCATTTAGTTAAATACCAACAATTCATTTGATTGGTGAAATAAAATAGAAATTGAATTGAATTAATATTTTGTAATAATATAAAAGGTAAGAAATAAAATTAAATATGTATTCTTTTGTTTAGTTGATAGAATAGAAAAATTATTTTGATTTTATTTTTATGTGTGATTGATAACAATAAAATATAAAATCATTATATATATAAATATATAGAGAGTTAAATGTCTAAAATACCCTCCCCTCTGATTCTTTGTCCTTTTCATATCTACTTTTCGAACATGAAACTCGATACCAAAATATTAAAAAATAAAAAGCTTCTGACTCTCCCTTTCTCTCTCGTTTACTTTTCTAAAAGAAGAAATATCCCCAAAGCTCCTCTCTCTCTTCTTTTCCCACTTTCTATCTCACTCCGATCTTTAACTGGCAGAAAGATTCACGGTGAGTAGAAGAAGGTTTGTAAGGGGAGATGGAGATGAGTAGCATCGAGAGGGGAGAGGGCGAAATGACAAGATGAGATGCACCCCCTTTAGAAAGAAAGGGTCAAAGGTTTTGGGCTTGTAGCTTTCGCATCCCCACTTCGTCAGGTGGTGCTTGTGAAGAGGATATGCCACCAGAAACCAAGTACAACTGTTGGTCACAACTGCTACCAGAAAGCTGCAATGAAGATGAATTGAAGATGGGAAGAAAGGGCACTCTTGGAATTAGGAGAAATTAAACAAATTCCATGAAGCAAGGAATTGCAAATACCTGCACTTACAAAAGAAAGCTAGTTCTTCTTTCACACGGAACCCTTAGGCCACAAAATATCTTTTCTATTCCTTTATTTTGAATCAAACAATGGAAACGTGGTCCCCTTAAGAAAATACACAGAATAGAAAAATTAAACTATTCCATCTGTTAGAGTCTTAGAGACTGCAAATATAATGCTCTGCTCTTTTTTCTTTCTCGGCTTGGTCAATGCCCTATTTCTTCCTTGCTCTGTTACTCTTTTGAAGTTGGTTTTGCATTTCTTTTAATTATACAAAAAATATTTTACTGATTTAAGCTCATTGTGATAAGATAAAATAATATAATATTATAAATAATATTAAAATAATATTATATTTAAAAATATTATTTTATTTTATATTTAATGTATATAAGAATTATGATAAGAGAATTTATTTATTTATTAAAATTATTATTTTTTAAAATTTATATAATTTAAATTATTGATATAATTTTTAATGATATAATTAGATATATAAGTTTAATCTTATAAATTAAAAATAATTATTTTTACTTGAAAAAAATTGAATAATTCTAATCAAGAAAATATTAATATTTTTTGCATTCCCTATCTCCTATTTTATATATAAATAAAATATGATATAAGATTATTAAAATTTTTGACATTCAAATAAGTGGAAAAGATAAGTTAAAATAAAAAAATAATTAAAATTTTAATTTATTTTATTTATTTAATTATTTTTTAAAAGTAACATCTAATAAATTTGTAGTTCAAATTTTTTTATTTTTTTTTTTAGATTACAAAAGGTTTTAAGGTTGTTTGGGAAAGTAAAATGATTTATAGTGGAATGGGAGATTTATAGTGGAATGAGAGATTTAAGGTTGTTTGGGAAAGTAAAATGATTTATATATGAAAGGGACATGAATGACTTCATGCAAGAAGATTAGATCACCGGTATTCTTTTTATAATGCATGGATGGTATGCTTCCACAATTAATTATCCCAATTACACTTAACTTATGACATATTTAAGATAGCAATTTTCTAAAAGAGTTTTCATCTTATGTACTTGGTCTTATAAAAGTTATCACGAAATCTAAATGCGATTTAATAATTTTTAATTAATTTTATTTTAAATATTTCAATTAGATAAATATATTTTTTATTAATAAATTTGATTTTAATTAAAATTTTGTGATTGTAATTAAATCATATCAATAATTCAGGTAACTTTTATAAAACCTACCTCTCTTGGAATCAAAACTCTTTCACAAATTTTTTTTTTTTAAACTAATAAAACTTGCATTTATAAGTGCCTTTTTTTATATAGTTTGCTCTGCTCGTTGGACCTTTTTTTTTTTTTTTTTGAGAGATGGAAACTATTTGAACTATATATTTAAATTTTCAATTTAAAAAAAAAAATTTTGAAAGAGCATTAGGTTACGCAATGAATCGAGAAAAGCATCTTTCTTTGATTGGCAGAAGAAAAAAAAATTATATATATATATATATATCCATGGTTATTAGGTGAGTTGTTAAATGCATTCATGCATGCCAAACTTTGGCAAACTTTAAGAGTCATTGAATGTAAGAAACGTACATTGGAGTTATTAATTGATAAGACATTTGGCCAAAAATTTTAGTAATATGGTTTCCAATGATAAATTAATATGCGGCTAAAATATTAAAAGAGTTTCTTAATTTTTTTTATTTAAATATATCCTTATATTTTTATTTTGTTTCAATGAATTCTTATTTTTTAATTTATATTCAATATGTCCTTATCAAATAAAAGAATGATTTACATTAATGATTTATTTATGTACATATTAAAAAATAAAAATTTATTTCGATACAAATTAAAATTTAAAAGTTTATTTGAATACAAAGTAAAGGTTAAGAATTTATTTAGTTGTAATAAAATAAAAACATAAAGAATTATTTAAATAAAGTGATATAATCCTTTATTTCTAATAAAAGATTGATTTACATTAAGGATTTATTTATATACAAATTAAAGAATAAAATTTTATTTTAATACATATTAAAATTTAAAGGTTTATTTGAATTCAAAGTAAAGGTTAAGAATTTATTTAGTTGTAATAAAATAAAAACATAAAGAATTATTAAAATAAAGTGACAAATTTTAGAGGCTTTCTTATGTTTTAGCTTTGATATTTTGATCTAAGACTTAATTTAGTTAGTTCATATAATTAATTTTAATACAAATTTTTATTTGAATGCAAAGTAAAGGCTAAGAATTTATTTAGTTGTAATAAAATAAAAACATAAAGAATTATTTAAATAAAGTGATAAATATTTTATTTAAAATAAAAGATTGATTTACATTAATGGTTTATTTATGTACAAATTAAAGAATAAAAATTTATTTTAATACAATTTAAAATTTAAATATTTATTTGAATGCAAAATAAAAGCTAAGAATTTATTTAGTTGTAATAAAATAAAAACATAAAAAAAAATTTTAAATAAAGTGATAAAATTTAGAGGCTTTCTTATATTTTTAGCCTATTTTGAATTGAAACTTAGTTTAGTTAGTTTATACAATCAACTTTAAGGTATTATATTAATAAGCTTAGAACTCAAAGATAACATTTACAATTTTTTTCTTATCATGTCTTCTTTTATACCAAAAAAAATTGATGTTATCAAATTTCCACAAATTAAAAAGTAACAATGACATCCAACAACACAAACCCTATAATCTCATAAAAATAATTATAGATTATTTATGTGATATTTAGAAAAATTTATATACATAATTTATTCCATCAGAAAATTAAGGTACATAATTTATGGTTGTAATTAAATATACCATCCACAATTTTTTTCTTTATGAGAAAAATGGCAACAAGTCTTTTTCAAAATAATACATATAGTAACATGATAAGGTCTAATAAAAAATTAATTAGTTATTGATCATTTTATAGTCACAAAATGATATTTAGATAGTAGGAAAGATTTAGATGAAATTTTTTAGCTAAAATTTGTAAATTTTTTTATTAAAAATGATTAAATAAAAATTAAAATAAAAAATTAAATTTGATAAATTGAAATAATTTATTATGTAAATCAAGTGTATAAATTTTGAAAAAACAAATTTTAATATATTTTTTACTATTAAATAAAAATCGATTAAATTTTAATTATAAATAATATTTTAAAATTTTTTATATATTATTGATATTTACATTAAATTTTATCTATTTATTAATTTAAAATTTTTATTAAATCATTTTAAACAAAATTTCACAAATCTCACCTAAAATATTTCATCTAAGTTTTGTCCTTAAGGTACAATAGTATATAACAAAAAAAAATGCAAAATACAATTTCAAACACAAAATGACCATAAACCCATCACAATACGAATAAGTCTTTTTATGTGTTTGAAATAAACATTGCTCTCATTCCAATGTAGGGTTGTAGTGTGGGTGTTACCAATTTCATACTTACACTACATTTTTGTTTTGGGTATATAAAAATATTTACAAAATTCAAGTGCAAAAAAAAATTGTAAATCTCTACATATTTCAATAAGAAAGAAATACATTTATATTTCATGACCAAATAAAAAAGCACATAAATAATGAGATTTTCAAAGCCCTTTTCTAACAATGAATAATCAAAATACCGATAAAATAAATTATAAAATATTTAAAAAAATAAAATTTTTACCAAATGTAAAAAAAGTTTAGGTCGAATCTGATTTAACCAAAAACAATCTCAAACATGCTTGAAAATCATCTTTCCCATTTTTTTAATATCATATTAGATTCTTCAATATTTTTATCATAAAATGTGTTACTCCCTCTGTCCTTATTATTTTAAATTTATTTTTCATGTCTTCAAATGAAATTTCTTAATATTTTAACACCTTATATTTTTATTTTTATATTTAAATTTTATTTTTTAATTTTTGATATTTTTATAAGTATTGAAAGAGCTTGTCTTTCTTATAAGATCCGATTAAATTAAATTTCAAAATAATCAATATCCAAAATGATTATCAAAAGAATCTTAGATAAAAAAAAATTCATACAATAATGTATGATAGTAATGAAAATAAATGATGAATTTATTTTCTTAAATTTTGGTAGTAATGCTGAAAACTAATTAACCATATAATTTGACCTTTGCGAATCAATCATCAACGGAGTAAAAGTCAACATCCATTCTATTGGGTGGCTTATTTATCAATTTGTGTGGATATCGAAAGTACATAAGCTACTTCTTCTTCTTCTTCCATCTTTTCCACATGTATGTGTGTACAGAATTCACGGGAGCTGACAACTGAACTGAGTGGCCAATGCGGTGACGAAATTGTTAATCCTGTCACTCAAAGTCACACTCCAACACGGGAAAATAGGAAATCTAAACTAGATATAAATAATAAATCAAAATTTTATATTAGATTTATGGCAAGAGGTAAACCAACAATTATAAATAAATTTTATCATATTTGAAATATGTTCAATTGGTTCATAGATCATAAAAGTTTATTCTTAATAATTTATTAAATTTAATAAATAAATAAAAATAAAATTTATTAATGAATTATTTATGGAACAAATTATTCCTATACTTATTAAAATGTACATGGATTGAATATTAACAAATTTTATAATATTTATTTAATTAATAAAATTTGAAATATTATTTAAATTAGTTATTAAATTTAATCAATAAACGTAATGGAAAAAAGTTTAAATGTATTTATGAATGGTTCATTAAATATTATGTTATGTTTGCTAAATTTAAAGTGACGCCTAGTTAGAATTTTGATAATAGGTATTTGATTCCAACAATTACTTCAAGAGAATTTAATTACAGAATAAAATATGATATTCTCAATAGCATTAAAAATCTCGAAATAAAAAACCCATACTTAATTATAGTATTTTGGGATTCTAGGAAAAAATTACTTTATTTTCAAAATTAACCTAAGTAAAAAATGATAAAATAGTCATTACTCTTTTAAAAAATATATCTGAAAGTGATTAAAATTCAATTGTAGGTTTTTGTATAAAAAATTTATATTGTAATTAAGGTGTTTGATATGAAAAAATATCTTAAATAATTATTTTATATATTTATAAATTGATTATTTAAGGTATTTTTTGTACAAAAATATTTTAAATAATTTTTTATAAAAATGATATTTTTATAAAATATAAAAAAATTATTTAAAGTATTTTTATACAGAAAATGTTTTAAATAATATTTTTTATTTTAGAGTTTAGGGTTTAAGATTAATATTTTAATAAAATGATTATTTAAGGTATTTTTTGTATAAAAATATCTTAAACAATTCTTTTATAAATTAAAAGATAATTATAAAATGATATATAATATAAAAAAAATCATTTAATGCGTTTTTGTACGTAAAATATCTTAAATAGTTATTTTATAAATATAAAAAGATTAGTTATAAAAAAATTATTTAAGATATTTTGTGTACAAAAAAACGCTTTAAATAGTCTTTTTATAAAATAAATTAAAGAAACATTTTTAATTTTTTTCATGATATAAAAAAGTAGCAAATGCATTAATTAATATTTTTGTTAATAATTTTTTTTAATCAAATTTTGTTATTCAAAAAAGTATAAAATACCTCAATTAATGATATTTTATACATAAAAACAACAATCAAATAAAATATTTATTTTATTTTATTATTAAAAGTGTTATTTATCGTTCGTATATTTATTATTAATAAATTAAAATAAAAAATTATTATCATATATGTAAAAAGAATTATGATAATTATACAAAATTAATATACGTTAAATTTTTTAACTAAACAAGTAAATTTAAATATAAAATATCCTAAAAATAAAAAAAATTAAGTATTGCATTTTCTCAAATATTACACTCTTTTTTCAAAATAAAAATTTTACGAACCAAAAACATCTCAAACGATAGGTTCATTTACAGATTTGGTTCCTATAAAATGACCTCATTACCCTATAAAAATTCCAGAAGACCAAAATGACCCCTAACCCACAGCCCACAAGGTTTTTTTCCGCGAATAAGGTCTCTCGTTTTCACACGTTGGAGAGTGTACGGCAATTCATAAGTTCCCGTAATGACCAAAACACCCTTTTCCGGCAAAGCTTTTTTTCATTTGGCCAGGTGTCTTGCGCACTTCATCGTTCAAGCCATACTTCCTACTTCACACTTCACTACTTAAACTCCATTCCCTCTTAAATGACAATAATTCCGACTTCCCACTTCGCTACTTAAACTCCATTCCGTCTTAAATGACAATAATGCCTATGAACAGTATTCTTATCCCATCCGAACAAACCGAAAACTCACTGTCATTTGCTAAAACTACTGTCCTCTTTCGTCCACCCATAAAACCAGACACGAGTGCCACTTTTGTCTGCTCATTCCGTTCACTGAACAAATAGTTCCCGCACAAGGAAAAAGCAAGAGAGAGAAACAAAATCCTAGAGAGAGAAAGATTGGGGGAATGGACGGCAACACTACCGAGGCGGAGCGGTGGCTGACCATAGCTGAGAAGCTCCTAGCGTCACGTGATTTGCACGGGGCCAGGACCTTTGCGATACGAGCTCGAGAATCGGCCCCTGTCCTAGCCGACCAAATCCTTGCCGTGACCGACACTCTCTTAACCGTCCAATCCAATCCTCAAGACTGGTACGGGATCCTGCAACTCGTTCCGTTAACTCAGTCCATGGAAGTCGTGGCGAGTCAGTACAGGAAACTCGCCCTTCTTTTGAATCCTGGGAAGAACACGCTCTCTTTCGCAGATCAGGCATTTCGATTCGTTTCTGAAGCTTGGAATGTGTTGTCGAATACTTCTAAGAAGCTCATTTATGATAACGAGTTGAGGTTCCTTCAGTTTGGTCAAGTGAGTCATCTCAGTCAACGACATCATCATCATCATCAACAACAACCACAACTTCAGCAACCGCAAACGCAGACGCTGTTTATGCAACCACCACAACCTCCGCCGCCCAAAGAAACGCAAACGCTATTTATGCAAACGCCGCAGAGAGAAAGGCAAACGCAAGTTACGCAACCACTTTTTGTGAGTAGAAGCCCTAGAAATAACAATAAAGATGGAAATGCCGAATTAGAAGGAGGAAGGCAGTTGGGTTTAAATAATAATCCGCCGGAGTCAACTCGGCTGGCTGAGTCAACTTGGACGAGGCAGATTAATCAGATAGGTTTAGCTGGGCCGAGTCAGATTAATCAGACAGGATCAGTTGGTTCGAGCCATATTACTCGGCCCGAGCCAATTCGGGCGAGCCAGATTAATCAGATTGGAACAGCTAGCTCTACTCAGTTTAATCGGACTGAGCCTACTCGGACGGGTCAGATTAGTCAGACAGCAGTTCCTATTTCTCCTCCTCATCCTCCTCCTACGGAGCATAGTCGGTCAGAGCCAACTAGTGTGACCCGGAAGACCGATTCGACTCGGCCTAGCCAAGCTACCGACTCAGAGGGACCGACTTTCTGGACGGCTTGTCCGTACTGTTACGTTCTCTATGAGTATCCGCAGGTGTACGAGGATTGCACACTGAGGTGTCAGACTAAGGAATGCAGGAGAGCTTTCCATGCGGTTGTGATACCATCGCCGCCTGTGAACGGAAAGGACACGTATTTCTGCTGCTGGGGTTTTTTCCCATTAGGATTTTCGGGGAATGATAAGAACATGGGCAGTAATTTTCCCAGTTGGTCACCTATTTCGCCCATGTTTGCTTGCCCTAACAACAAAAATGCTGGAAAACAAAATAATACCAAAAAGTCTGCTTCAAGAGTGTTTTATGATGAACATGATGTATATGTAGAGATTTCTGATTCGAGTGGGAGTTCTGAGCCTGATGATGATGATGATGATGATGAATGGCAGAATGAGAGGAGAAAGAAAAAGGCGAAGAAAGCCAAAGGGAAAGGATCTGTGGGGAGAAATGCAAAGAAACCACTGAGTGAGAGAGTGAAGAAGGGGAGTAATGAGCAAGTTAATGTGGGTCGAGGTGGGAATTTGAATGGTGTGTCCATGGCGCCAGATGGTGTGCGGACTGCTGAGTCGAGCGGAAGGGGGGTAGTAAATAGTGGGAGGAAACAGATGGGAAGAGGAACGAAGGATTTGGGGAAGTTGGATTTGAATGTGGAGTTTAGTAATGAGGTGGAAGAGCCAGCACGAGGGAGGAGTGAAGGGAATCATGCTGGATATGAGGAGGAGGAGGATAACATTGAAGGGAATGGGTTTTTTGAGGGTCTCGATGAATTTTTGAGTAGCTTGCCTATACTGTCAGTCGTTGGGGATGATAAAGTTAGGGCTACTTAGTGAAGTAAGATCCTTGATTTTTGTATTTTTTTTTTCAGCTGTTATAGTTGTTTTAATTGTATGCTTGTAGTATTTAATTATGTGGAGGTACTTGGTATCTTATTTCATAGTTCTTTCAGAGTTGAATTCGACTGTACATTTTGCTGCATCATGTTTTGTGATTATTTTTATTGTTTTGGGCTGCCTGTTTATTTTGAGTGAATTTTCCTGTTTGGGAGGATAGGTTAGAAAGTTTGGTACATAACCGTGAGACATTTTTGGGTTGAAGATTGACTATTCTGTCCACCATGATACTTGCAGTCACAGGAATGGGTGGTAAGTTTTCTGACTGGTTCTCTTTCTCCTTTGAGTCGTAAGAATTATTAACTATGACAATAAGGGTATTGGCATTGCCCCCCTCCCCCTCTTCCCCTTCATGTGTTACTGCTTTTAATATTTTCTTTTGCCTCCTTTGAGGGCGTGTTTCGCCTCTTCTTTTCCCTCATAAAAGGGAAAAGATAAAAGGACTAATGCTGAGATATGGAAGGTGGAAGTATGCTTGGAAATGTTGAATTGAGCTATTTAGGCTTATTACTCTTGCTTTGGAGAAGATTTCAATGGACGGGATTAATAGCAGAAGAAGATTCAATTGTTATGGACATATAGTTACCAATTCTTTTGTGTTCGCGAATCTGCTTTCTTTGTTCTAAGCATGACTTTCCTAGGGTTGTTTTCACTATCATTTAACTGTCCCATTCTAAAAGTGCAAAAATATTAGCTTTAATATATTTTTTGTTGATTGTGTCGTTGCTTTTACTTTGTATGTGCTTGTAAGTTGTAATTCATGCATCTTTCTTGATCATGACTAGAATTAGTTATCCACAATAATTGTTACTACTTTGTTAGTCTTTCTCAGCAGCTTCAAAGTTCTCTCTTTCTCTCTCTTAAACTGACTATTAGTTTTACCTTGACTGGATGCTTGGCAATATGACTTGCCCAGAATTAGTTTGAAGCTGCAATTCTGGCAGCGACTGCTTATACCTTCTTCATTGTGGTCCTGAAGCCTGACAGTTACTTCAAGAATCAAGAATGGCTTTTCCTTCAGTTATTTCTTGCTCTTTTTTAACTTTAAGAACTGAAGCATCCAAACCTTACTGTAATATGTGGCATCAAGTCCTTAAGGCCAAGTTGTTTAGAGATTTCCAGTCTGAAGGAGTTATTCTTACTACTCTTCTTTATATATTTGCTCCATAAAGAAGACCTAAACACATGATTTATCAGCTCACCTTAACTTGAAATGGATGAACGCCAATTGAAATTGTCAGACTTGGTTTAAATTTTGCAACTTCATCTTCTAGTTGCAGAGTAGTGCAAAATTGCTGGTTTGCTAATCCTGTAGCCATCAACTCCCTGCCATATGTAGAGACTTCAAATCAGATTTTTCCCTTTCCTTTCTTATTATATCTTGATAGCTGGTAACTAATATGGTATAATATTTTCGTTAAATATCAAAATTCCCCTACCCAACCAACTGCAGCTTTTTGATAATTGAGTCATTGTGCTTTGTGTTTAATTTCTTTGTCCTATAAGAGGCGTCGTCTTTTATTGCAACATTCAGGGAGATAGCTAACTTTTTGATTAGATGTTGAAGAGCCCAAGAAGTTATTCTAATCATTAGTTTTAGTTAGTTGCAATATGGATGCTGCAGATTTTAAATGTTTCTATTCTATTTGATGTGATTTTTGCTTTCTTTTCTTTGTGGTTGGTACTGATAACGCTTCAACAGATTTCTTTTCGTGTCATAAATCTCTTAGTGAAGCAAAGAATGGTGGAACGAGAAGTGCTTGGTTGGATATCTTTGCTTTGAATCTGTGTTTGTTCTTCTTACGGGGTTTTAGGTTGTTGTAATTGACTCTTAAGGGCATTGTGTGGTGCTGGCCTGCAAAGACATATTGAATGTAGTCTGATAGTGACTTCCCTGTCAAAAAGTTGGAGGCTGCTCCTGATTCTTATTCCTTTAGGTGAAGTGCTGCTGATGGTTTTTGATGCCAAGAAGATGTCCAAAAGCAGTACTGATTGTGGAGAACAGATCACTTGGGAGGGAAGCGAACAGCTTTTTAATCTGTGTACCATACTAAGCAATTGCAGAGTGTTGCAAACTAATTCCTGTCTCTTTTCCAGCAGCAAAGGTAAGCTATCCATGAATGTCATAAAAGATAGTATCTCCTATCCATTTAGAAATAGTCGGTTAATGTTAGGCATGTGATCCTGGGTAACGAGAGTTGTGGCAATGAGCCACAAAGTCGAGCTGGTAATTGTGAACTTGCTGCTGGACAAGAATGCTAGCATTGCCAATAGTATGGTTAATTGGTGATATTTGTGACACAATTAGTGTAGATGGCCTTTTCATCTTTGCAGCTATGATGGATTTGAAATGTTTTGCCGTTTGTTTTCTTTTGAAGAGAGTTCTTATAGTTGGTGGCCCCTATTCCATGTCTATAGGATTCAAAAGTTCTCCAATCTGTGAAAGTATGTTATTACTATGAATCTCACAGCATTGTTGGCACGATCCATTTGGGTGGGCTCTGGATGTCTCATGCTCAAGCAGAGCTCTCTTGTTCGTATCAACATTTTCTTGCTGCAATTACTGTGAAAAGAAAAATGAGCTAGGAAATCCAAGGGCCAGTGACTTTTGGCTGGAAGCTTGCAAAAAAATATGCGTGGCAAGAAGTGTTTTGCCATTGAAATCCCTCCGATGCTGGTTTGAGAACTTGAAGACGATGCTAATACTTTGCCTAAATGTGGATGGATTCAGCACGCCCCTGCATCTATAATCACTAATCAAGTTTGCCTCTAAATGGTTTTATATATATATATATATATATATATATATATATATATATATATTATCACACCACCAACGTGTTATATTCATTTCATTTTTTGAGCAAAGACCAATAAGGTTTGAAGATGAAAGGATTGTTACTCAGGTTTTAAAATTAAGGCTTGTGGATTAGGCCAGAGTTTATAGTGTTCGTATAAGCAGTCAATTAGGACGGTGCTCTTCATGAGTTGTTAAAAGGGTTTGGGATTTTTGGATATCAATCTGCTTTTTTGTTGATTGAACATGAACAATTCTAGAGTCAATTAATAAATGAAAGTTACTCTTTTAAGATCTTTTACTTGTGTAAATAATTTTGTCATACATTCAAACTGTGAAGGAGGCCAAAATGCACATGGCTGGCAGGGTTGTAGCATCGATAAAAATCCTTTGATAGTAATTTATTTCTTTGACATGTTTTCTCCGTCGTTCTTGGAAGACAGAACAACTGGGCAAGTGTAGTTTGATCCAAGTCAACCAACGGATAACCACTTTTTAAGAAAAATTCACTTTCCCTTGTTTTTATACTTTGAATGACTGCCCTAAATCTTCTCCACTTCTTTCCTTTTGCATTTCTTTCATCACCAAAAAGAACAATGCTCCTTTACTTTCTGAGACCCTCTGACCTATTATTTTTAGATCCGTCCAATTCGAATGGCAGCTCTTGTGTCACGGGTCGAGATTTAAGTTTCGAACTCGTACGATTTTGAGATTCGAGTATTCATCCTTCCAGGGTTTCAGATCAGTCTTTCGTCACGGTTCACGCCCTTGTGAGGTATTATCCGCTCTGACCCCTTGGCCTCACGGTTTTATCTTATAAAAGGTATCTCACAAGACGGAGATGGTGTGAATCCTTTTATACCTCAGTGACCTTCCTATTATGTTCGATGTGGGATTCAGGATTCCTCTTAAGTTCGTGACATTCTCTTACACCCAACCTTATGACGCCCTCGTCATGGAGGCTGACCACCCTGCCTACCTCCCTCGAAGTGCTTAGCATGGATCGAACGGTATAAGGTTGGCTCTGATACCACTTGTCACGGGTCGAGACTTAAGCTCCGAATCCGCGCGACTTCGGGACCCGGGTATTCACCATTCCGACGTCCCAGATCAGCCTTCCTGCCACGGTTTACACCATTGTGAGGTATTGTCCGCTCTGGCCCCCTGGTCTCACGGTTTTGTCCGACGTCTCACAAGAAAGAGGGGGTGTGAACCCTTATATACCTCACTGACCCTCCTATTCCTTAGGTCCGTGACATTCTTCATCACCCAACCTCGTGACGCCCTCGTTACGGAGGCCGATCGCCCTGCCTACCTCCCTCGAGGTGCTTGGCGTGGATCGAACGGTATACCCTCCTATTCCTTAGGTCCGTGATATTCTCCCGCACCCAACCTCGTGACGCCTTCGTCACGGAGGCCGACCGCTCTGCCTACCTCCCTCGAGGTGCTTGACGTGGATCGAACGGTATAGGGCTGGCTCTGATACCATTTGTCACGGGTCGAGACTTAAGCTCCGAACCCGCGCGGTTTCGAGACCTGGGCATTCACCCTTCCGACATCCTAGATCAACTTTTCGATTCACATCTTTATGAGGTATTATCCGCTTTGGTCCCATTAACCTCACGATTTTGTCCTACAAAAGGCGGCTCACAAGACGAAAATGGTGTGAATTCTTTTATACCTCAGTGACCTTCCTATTATATTCGATGTGAAGTTCAGGATTCCCCTAATACGTGACACTTACACCTACCTCTTTTTCAAAGGACCTTTTATCGTATCGAACATTAGCGGTAAACCACTCCCCTCTCTCTCTCTCTCTCTCTCTAGCATTTAATGCTATATGTGCATGTTTTTATGCATTATTTTGAATTTGGATTTGCTAGTTTTTTAGCAGATTTTTGGGTCAAAAGTGGGGAAATTCAGCAGACCCAGTTGGGACCGTATACTTCTTTTAGGTAAGGGACTGTTTTAATCAGTTTTCCCACTGTTCAAAATCTGGGCTTGGTTTCTTTTACCTCTTTTTAGGTGGTTTCTTGGAGAGCTATAGGTCCAAATGTTTGATCTTTTTCTATCTTAATAACTTCATACAATTGCAGGTAAGGTGTTAATATTAACTGAGTAAGAAACAAAAAAAAATTATTAACTTTTTTTTTGGATTTGAAAATATATGCGGGGAAGTCTATGAAAGGAAAAACTTTTATCTCTTTTCTGTAAAATAAATCTGTTAGTACTTTTTTAATGACTTAATCTGTTTCTGCAGAAACTTTTGCAATTTTGTTATTGCTCTATGGCCTTAAGAAGGCTTGAACTGATTTAAAAATGGATATTAAGGTTGAGGATCTGGATGAATTGAACTGATGAAATTTTGTCCCTTTGGCTATAATCATTTGTTATTCTTCACGTAAGGAAATTAAAATAGTGGGGTTCCCTAACATCTTTCGCGAGTTGGTTCAATCTCTGATTAATCTTGTTTGATGATTTGTTATAGGAGAAGTTATACAATTAAGATATAGACTACAACGCAAGTTTCTCGGTTGACCCTAAGAGATAAGCTTATTTCGAATTTGGTTTTAACTCACCTGGAATATAGTTTCTTGGATTCAGTTTGACTGATAAATCTATTTTATGCTGCCACAAATGTCTTTCTCTGACGTTTGTAGGAGCAACATAGGTGTGAAACTGAAGGCTTCAGCAGAGCCTCCGGCTTTAACACAGGAGCTTAGAAGTGCAAACAGGAGAGCATAGTGGAAGCGGGAAGCAGATGTGATTGTTTGATGAATTGAAAAATAGGTTCCTGAGTTTCAAAAAGCATAAATAAATGTAAGCTACAAAATCTTGGTCAAGGTGTTTTAGCTCGGGATTTCAACCAGTAGAAGCATTCATGGTTCTCAATGTTGCAAATATGGTGCCCACACACAAGGTATAATATACTGTGCTTTTATTTAACTTCTGTTGATATTTTCTTTTTAATGCTACAATGTCTGCACTTAGGAAATGATATTGGAAATTCACCTTTCAGTTTTTCTCTCCTTTTCTGTTCGTGAAGAGTGGGCTGTCAGAAACTAATGCTGCATTGGAATTTGCCGTTAAGTCACTCCTAAGTCCTACCCCTCTCTCTCTCTCTCTCTCTCTGTTCAGCCTTTTATAAGACTTTATAATCTTATATTGCCAGTTATGCAATTCCTTTTGCCGTTTGAAAACATTTTAATCATTGGCAATAGCTGCTGTGGTGGCATCCGTGCCCTCATGAGTATGCAAGATGAAGTACATTCAAGGTTTAGTCAGAAAAACAGCTTTTATTTTTTATTTTTTGCTTTAGCATTTTAATCTATCACTTGCATCTTCAGATAAGAGAATGAGTAATTGTGTATGCATGCTTAGCTAAACTCTTGTGCTTCAGTTGCTTTATCAGAAGTTGCGTTATTGTTGGAATGAATACCAACCTAAGTACGAAGGCTGCTGCTTCCAACCTCACTTTTGACCAGCAATGCGTGCATTGTGAGAAGGTACTCTCACTCTCTTGGAGTTTAATGTGTCCAGAGTCCCATGGGACTCTTTGGTCCAACTAAAATATTCTGCTTTGGGTTTAATCTCATGCCTGTTGTAAATGTTTCATTTTTGCTGGAACGGGTAAAATTTGGGCTTAAAATGTAAAATCAAATGATGAATTTCATGATATTCTTCTTTTCAGGAATCGATCAACTGTTGACTGTTAAACCTGCTTGGTTATCCAAGGATAGAAGAAAAGGTGAAAAAAAGGGTGCTTTCTCTGCACGGAGGCTACTATGACTTTATGGACTATACTTACGAGGAAATGGACATTGGATTACAAAGGAAGCATTATGGACGGGAAAAACAGAGGTGTGGTGAAGAACCGATCACTGTCTCTCGTTCCATCTTCTGGTTTTATCATATGATGCTGCATTCTCCTTTTCTTAAGAATTTACTTGATTTATAAATGACTGTTTTGTGTAATAATATTCTGCTTCTGTATCTGTGTTTAAAGGGGATAGATTTTGTATGATGTAATTTTGTAACTCAAAAAAGAATAAGATTTAGTTGTTGAGAGAACATCTTATTTGCATCCGCAACCATAAACATTACATTGATGCAGAATATGGTGTAAAAAACACTCAGATACCTAATGCCACTGTGAGTGTAATTTGAAACAAATATCTTGATAAAGAGATTTTTAAACCCACTAACAACATAGATATATTGCTTTCAATCATTCTCTCCCTGCTAAAACCTCTCCTTACAGGCTTTCTATCTCTTGTCCTTAACATGATACTTCAATTGTGGCATTGATTTGGAATCATGAACGAGTGCACTTAATGCCCTTACATATTGACAACCAAATCACAAACAATAGTAAACAAACAGCTGCATCAATGGCAAGAGCAATCCGGACTTGACGCCTCCACTTCTTTTGGATGTTCCCAGATCCAGATCTTATCCTCGTTGAACCCAAGTCCTTCTGCAATGAGATTGAAGAGCTTGCTCCATTTTGGTTGTTATTATCCAAAACGGTTGAATCAACGTACACTCTATCTATAGATTTCTGATGTTCCTCCAATTCAATATCTCTCACCGCAATCACGTGATCCTTCAACTTCTTCTCTTGGTTGCTAGATTTGCCCAACGAAGGGGCTTTAGTAGAACTAGCAGCTTCAAGTTGTACATTTGCATTACTTGAAGATGGGGAGCGACCTGCATGATCTGATGATGGAGTCTCAGCCTTCCAATCATTGCTACTATATGAAACACGTTCTAATGAAGTTATCAAGTGCAGGATAATGGGCATTAGTTGCTCTTGGATGCCAATTGAACTCGTACCTGAAAAGCTACCTCTTGAACCATTCCCAACTACATTTTTAAATTCATCCCTCATGTGCTCTAGAAACTGAAGCACACCACGGTTTTCATGACCCTTGTCAACAATTATGAAATAAACATACCCATCTTCTATCAAAAAGCCATAAGTCATTGTACTTATTGTCTCAAAATACCACTTATGGAATCGGGGAGTCCTTTCCAAGCACAAGGCAGCCAAATTTTCTATCTCATGATCTCCCCCACTATATTCATACAGAGACCTATTACCCTTTGAAACACAACAATAATGAACTGTATTCTTAATTGATCCCATCAATATGCAGTGAATCTAACTAAGCAGCAAGCATTAGAACGACCAAAAATATTCAAACCTTCAACTCCCAACTGGAATAAGCTTTCAATGTCAAATCCAAAGTTGTAAAGAATCTAGGCAATCAAGATCAGGCAAAACAAGAAGTGAACAAACTTCTCAGTGAAGGACATTAACACCGGGAAGAACACGATTAATTCCTCAGCAACAATATCCAAAGCCTCGAGAAAATGTAAATAAATACTCAAAGTCAAGAATGAAGTCCCTTGTGCCTGTAACAAAGGGAATTTTTTTTTTTCATAAAAACCCACATGAAGAAAGCCAACTCAACCCAACATGTAAAAACCTATTACTAAATACAATCACGAATTTCAATCATAACATCACAGAATGCAACAGAAACTCGATACAATTCGTGTACTGCTAGATAAACTATAGTCAAAATACTAGATACGGGCAAAACCCCAACACACTCCAAATTCCTTAGTGGTTAAAAATCCAATTATTGAAACAAAACAAATATCAATAAATAATAAAAAGCACAAAGTATAAGGAATCAGTGTCATACAGAAAAAACCATAAAAATTTAAGGAAAACCCAGGAATAATTCTGAACCCAATCAAAAGACCCACTTAACAAACAAGAAAAACAAAACGTTAACTTGAAAAACATAACAGAACAATCAAGCTAAATAGAAGAAAGGATCAAGCAAGAAAAACGTTTGACCTATTCAGTCAAAAAATTTTTCTCTGCGGCAACCAAGCAGATAATTGAAATGGTTTTTTTTTTCTTTCTTTTTTTAATAATCACAGTCATTATTCGCAATCATTATTCGTTACCTGTGAACAAGGTCTCCAGTCTCCAATAATGATCTTCAATATCTGGGTAAAAATGAAATCTTTACATGGAGAAAAAAGAACAGAGGCCTTGGGGAGTTGAAACATGAAAGAGAAAGAAGCTATTGTGAAAAAAAAAAAAAAAAAGAAACCGACCATTTCAAACGTTGTACAATTAAAGTAATGGATTATGATTGATGATTTTTCCTTTTACTGCTATAAACAATGTCGTGTTCGTGTTGACGTTGTTCTTCATGACATTTTTTTAATACAGGAGGAAGAGAGAATGATGCGACGTCCTTTGACCAGCCATAAAGAAAGATAAGCGGACCCCATAGGATTTTGGAAGTATTACACATCATCTAAGGTGGAAAGGTAGGACCCACATATATCTGACCCGGCCTACACCTTTCTAATCCGAAGTGGATTCCAATACGATGTCGGATTATCTTTCTTACTCAAAAAATATTTTTAGGGTTCTAATTTGAGACTCAAAAATCAGAATCTCTTTTTTTTTTTTTTTTTTTTTCCAATTTCTTTTGAGAGCTCTGATTTTTTTTTTTTTTTTATGGGTTTGAGATTATTGGAAAGCAATGGAGGCAGAGGTGATAAAAGCAGAGTTGGTATTGCCAACGCATATGAGTTTCAAGAGGATACAAATATATGAGAAGTACCCAAAGGGCCAATCGAAGGTCAGGTGGAAACAGCTGAAGCAAATCCTTCAAGCTGAAAATTACCAAAATTACCATCCTGATGAACCCAATTGTAAGTTTCTTTCATTTTTTTTGCAAGGGTTTTGTTAATTTGTGTCCATAAGTTTCTTGGAGAGTTCACAGTTGGATGAACCTAAAGTTTTCCAGTAGTTTCATTGAAAATGTTGCAAAATTCCATAGTCAAAAGCTTGATAGCTTTGGATGTTGTTGTTTTTATCTACTTGGTCTAAGACATTGGCATTTTACTCGGAATCCCATGTTTAGAAGCTTCCGTTGTTTAATATCTTTTTGCAAAGAATTCAATGTCAAGCCCAACCTGATCAAACAATTTCCTTTGTTTAATTTGGTTTTGCAGATGTTAATATTGAGTCACCGCCTTCAATACATCCGTGCAAAAGAATTTGTGATATAACAGGATTTGAGGTATGTCGCTCTGTTAATCACTTGAAACTTTGATTATTTTTCAGAATATATAATATGATGCTTGCTTAACTTAAACTTCATCTCTGTTCAGTTTATACCCTAGACTGCCTCATTCCTGTTCTCAAAAGGGAAATAATACTGCAGTTTGAATTTTTGCCCGTCTGCTTTAAGCTTCTACTCTTCATATGTGTCTTTCCACTTTTTTATCAACTATATAAGAAAAAGATGCTTGTAGTATGTCAGTCGAGGGTGTTGGTTGTTGCTGTTTGAACTAGGTTTAGATGGATATACTGGGAGTAGTTCCTATATACTAAGCTAACCTCAACTACGCTGTTAATGATTCTCATATTCGTAGTTAAATAAATGATTATGGCTTAAACTCCTTGATTCAAAAGAAAGTGAAATATATAGGCTACCTTGTCTCACAACCTGCGCTAGGTTTAGTGGCTGACTGGTAGATACTGGTGCCATGAATAGAATTCTGGAATGGTTTTGCAAACTTTATTTTGAAATGTTGTGTGAAAATCCTCCTGCAACCAAAAATTAACTATGACTCAGGTCTGCTGTTTTGGAGTCCATTGAGCCATGTTTGAATTGTTTACATATAACTTGTAATATAAACCTGAACTTAACTGTTCTGCTGAGTAGAACTCTAGCTAGTTGTAACTCAAATAGATCATATCAATTTCTGAATACAATAAAGAACAATATACTCATAATTGTTGTGCAGGCACCTTACTATGATCCAAGGACCAATCTTCGCTATGCGAATGCTGATGTTTTCAAGCTTGTGAGATCTCTTCCCAATGGGTATGTTCAAAGGTATCTGGCTCTGAGGAAGGCGGCAGTGGTTTTGAAGTGAAGTTCGGGAACTCAAAAGATGTTGAAGAGAGGCTTTGGTCTTGAATCAAATACTTACTTGACAATTAGATCAGTCTTTAATTAAATGAATCATCATAGAGATATCATGACGTATAATCTACACTTTATTTGATTGATGGGTGGAAGGAATGCAGGATGACATGTTATGTTCCATCCGTCTCTTGAAACCTCTCCAAAACTGAAGTTCCTAGGATAGTTTTGGGTTAATTGTAGCATCAGATATGGCCTATGAGAAATGAGAATATCTGATGAAGTGCGCCCCAAAGCAGGATCATTCTATTTAGGATTCAACATACTGATTTGTTCATGGGTTCATCCATGAAAATTTGAACTAAGTTCGGTGCAATGTAATTGTGTTTATACTTAAAGTAGAAAGTTATTAACAACTGATCTACTTATTTATGACTACTTAGCACCCATCTTCAAATGAAAAGAAGAAAATAATTTAATATACTTTACAAAGAAAAGTGAAAATTACTCCAAAGATAGTGTATTCTTATGTCAATCAAAATAATGTACGGTATTCAGGTTTGACACTTAATTCACCAATTGCGAATATTATTAATTTATTATTATTATTATTTTTCTTGAAGTAGGACAACAATAAAAGTAATCACGAGCCCCTCTGTCCAGATAGTTTTTGAAAAAGAGACCGACAAAGAAACTTATAACACTTTTGTCTAGATGCAAAAGCAATTTGTAGATAGCAGAGTATCCAAAAGAGCAGATAAAGCTCCGAGGTAGTGTATGTTTTGTTGAACGGCCCAGAAAATCCAACTTATGTTTGAAGAAATTCAACTTTAATTAACATATTTAATAGATTTCATAATTTTAAACTAATACAGTGACATGATATATAAAAAAAACAAAAATGACACGTAAATTTTTATGTTTTATATGTATTTAATGAAATCAATAAATATTGATTCAAATTATTAAATCCATTTGTTAGCCTTGTCTGTGTTGTTTCCTATAAAAAGAAAAGAAAAAAAAAACTGTTAGCATTGCAAAGAGTTCGCCTTGTTAATTTACTGTGATAATATATGTGTAATTCAATTGCTTATTCAAGCCAAAAAGATCATAGTGCTTTGAATAAACTGATGAGAACTGAAAATAATTGCTTTGCATTTACAACTAATAATGGAGGAGTCAAATGGATGTGTCATCATCATATCAGAGATTGGATAGTTCCATTGCATGATAGGGAGCAGCTTTAGTTTGAAAGCTTTACTTTCCTGTCATGAATAGGTGAGAAGTTGAGCTAACAAAATGTAGAATTTCTTGCCAACACGCCCTAGAAAATTCCCCTCTTCTCCACTTCCCAACACCTATAAAAGGCTTATCAGCACATGCAATTGCATAAACAAGCACACAGCTAGTATTCATTTTGCAGCACCTCTTTTGATCTGATTTTTAACCATGGCTTGCAATCGTTTTCCTTTTTCCATACTATCATTTTTACTCGTCACTTTGTCACTGATGAGCAGCAACACAATTTTGGTTGGTGCCAGGCGTCTTTTAGAGACATCCGTGCCCGAGAAACCTGAGATACCCACATTCCCTAAGGTTGAACTCCCAAAGCCTGAGCTGCCAGATGTTCCTAAGCCAGAAATACCCAAAATTCCTGAGTTACCAAAGCCAGAATTGCCTAAAGTTCCGGAGTTGCCAAAGCCTGAATTGCCCCAAGTTCCAGAGTTGCCAAAGCCAGAGTTGCCCAAGTTGCCTGAATTAGAAAAACCTGAAGAAGCAAAAGTCCCAAAGTTGCCGAAGCCTGAATTGCCTAAAGTTCCAGAATTTCCCAAAGCTCCTGAGTTGCCAAAAGTTCCCGAGTTACCGAAGCCTGTATTGCCTAAGTTGCCTGACATGCCAAAACCTGAAGAACCCAAAGAACCCGAGGTTCCCGAGCTACCAAAGCCTGAATTACCAAAGTTGCCTGACTTACCAAAACCTGAAGAACCCAAAGTTCCCGAGTTGCCAAAGCCTGAATTGCCGAAGGTTCCAGAGCTACCCAAGCCAGAATTGCCCAAGTTGCCTGAATTGCCTACCATGCCAAGTCTTCCTAAAGGCTTCCCCATCCCTTCCTTCACTCCACCATACACAAGCCCTTGAATCATGACACTTCCTTCGTTTTCCCTACGTTACACATATAGTTTCTAGGTATTCTTCTTATAGAAGAGTGTTGATTGGCGGATGTGAGTATTCATTTCATGAATCTCTTGTAGACCAGATTATTCATAAATGTGTTGTTTGAGTTGTTGTTTGCGTGGTTCTGTCGTAGTCATCTCCTCTATATTAATCATATATATCCTTTCTTAATAAATTTATAGTTATAAGAAACAAAGTCTGATCATTTCCCTATTCAGTATGGTCGTTGTTATTCAACTTATAACATTTGGCGGATGTGTGCTACGCATAAATCTTTGGCATGGATTGGCTAATGACAACACTCAAACTAACAATTCTTTCTAAACAAAACAAAGTTCAAATTCAGGACCATGATCTATGTCTAAAAGAGAGAGCGAATGAAAAGATCATGATAGAAATTCTTTGCAAACACTCATTTGATGTGACCACAATAAAAGTGGTCTTCATATTCATATAGTCCTTCGGATTGTTCAAGCCTCTAACAGTGATAGCCAAAATTTGGAGAAGTAAAAAAGAAAGAAAGGAAAAAATAAAAAAACCCCAAATAACTACATCTCATTACTAGATATTTGAGGTTTCTTGTCATTTACTGCATTGTATAATTAACACAATCAACTTAACGTATTTGGTCGGAAGAACCTGCTTCTATTGAGGGTTTTCTCCGTCGATTGTGGAGGAGATTAGTGGTCATTTTTATAAGTGTAACGAAAAATCTCACATTTTGAGCTAATTTTTGGAATCAAGAAATTCTAAAATCACCTAACACAAGTATCAGATTTCAGATTAGCAACATCTTCTCGTGTCGGACACATAAGTGCTCCCTCATGGCCTGATGTTCGAAGGACAAATTATTTGGCTTTTCCCATTGTGGAAGGGATTAATGATCATTTTATAAATGTGAAGAAAAGCCTCGAATTATTTTTGGGTTTGAGAAGGCTCAAAATCACCTAACAATTTCATCATATGAGTTGCTATTGTTAATAAAAAAAAAAAAAAGGAAAACTAAAGTTTAAACGTAAAATTTTCACTTAAAATATCCGTGTAGGCAATGAAGATGTAATTAAATGAGAATGTATAAAGGGTGAAAAAGAAAATTATGCAAAGAAAAATAAAAACAAAATGTAATTTTTATTTTTTTAAGGTATTAGACATATTGTTGGATAGAATTTTTTTTTTCTTCAAGGACATGAGATCAAACCTTACCTTTAGGAAAAATGGAAGTTTAAAAGGGAAAGAAAATATTTTAATTCTGCAACAGCCATTAAATCTAAAAAATGAAAATCGAGAAAAGAATTTGAGATTTTAGAATGCAAAAGATAAAATTAAGTTTTTTAAAACGCTGAGGGTTTAAATAATTTGGCCATAAAAGAAAAATTTTTTTGGGTCATTTGCTTATTTATGCATTATTATCATGCAAAGTTTTAACTACCTGTGTGCGCATGTAAGGAGGAAGATAAATATATGCAATACATGCAATTCTAGAATGACATACACCCAATTTGGATGATATTATCGTTTTGATTTGAAAATTTTACAGTTTTGTTTCATAAAAAGTGTTTCGCAAGTTTAAGATTAAATCTCAATTTATATATCATAATAGATATTCAAAATATTCTAATGTAAGATTGAGAGGTTACAAACTCTCTCCGTTAAAACTTGATATTTCTGTCAAACTCAATACAAAGCATGCAGATTCATTAAATCATACCAAACGTTAGATAAGTCCAACACAAAATACATACAGATCATAGAATTATACTAGACATTAAGATTCTAAATGTGACTCTCACCGTATAGTACTTAACTCCATAGGATTCTAAAAATAGCTTATATCATGTAACATTTAGCTTCCATTCGACTGGTGACTATTCTAATACCATTTGTGAATATCCATACCAAACTTGAGATGTATTGTTTATTTTGATATGAAGGTCTCATAATTTTATCTTACAAAAGACGCCTCTCAAGTGGGTGCAAGTTTCTATATCGAAATATTTTTAAGATCTACTATGATATATAAATTAAGATCTAATTTCAAACTTGTGAGACATTTTTTGTAAAATAAAATTATGAGATTTCGGATCAAAACGGACAATATTTTATAGATTGAGTGCGGGTCTCCACATAAAGAGTGCTCATTAGCCGGCTTGAGTCGGGTTAAGTTTTTTTATATTAAGGAGGTCACACTTTGGGAGTATTAGAAGAATTTTAGCTATTGAAATTTGAATTTAAATTTTATTGAATGCTATTTTTTTTATAAAATAGATATATAAATTAATTGAGTTAAAATTTAAGTTAAAATTTAGTTTAATTGACCCATTTATATTATTTTTATCATTAGAATATTAAAAATAAATTTATCATTAAAATTAAATCAAAACATATTATTTTTTAATATACTAATATCGTCGACTTAAAATTTATTTCCAAAGCTCTACTGAGCCTAACAAATAACTACATCCATAAACATCTTTAATGGAGAAGTTTCTGTCAACCAAAGGAATAAAACTTTAACAGACCATAGTCATGAATGTGATGGTGAGGAGATATGTGAAGTCTAGAATAATATAGACTTTGGTTAAGAATTAAGAACAAAAAGGGAATTGAAACTAAAAACATGCAAACAGTAGGTTACCAACAGTAGATCAAAGCCAGTGCTGCCAGCAAATTTTTCCCTTTTCAGCCAGTTTATGCCTCCTAATGGATAAAGACACCTGTTTAGCTCAACTGCTCACAAGGACTGTGTTAAAAGAAAGCAAAAGGAAGGAATTAGCAAAGCTGCAAAAAAAAAAGAAAAAAGCCGATAGATTAGATGAATGATACCTTTGATTATGATTATGTTATAATATCATTGTTATGATGATTCATAGTACATAAGTTTTGTCTATTAATTTTAAATTTTTATTCCATGTGAGCTTTTTTTTATACAAAAAAAATTACAGCTTAAATATAAGAGAATGAATTGTAAGTGTTAAGATTTGAATCTTAAACATGTTAAATGTTACATCATAAAAATGATTACAAAAACAAACTAAGTTATACTCTAAATTCAATGAGCATTTTCTGATTACATGACCAAAAGAATTCAAATTGATAATGCTGAATTTGTTTCTTAATTTAACTTATTTTTTCCACTTGTTCAATTAATTTTTCTAGGAATTGCTGATAAGGTATTTGGAGGCAGAGCACATATTTTAGGTGATACACCGTTAGTCAAGTAATGTAGATGAGAAGTTGCACTAACTACGTAGAGTAGAAATCCCACCAAACCAGCTTTCAGGCCTCCTATTCTCCACTTCTCGCATCTATAAAAACGCTAATGACAAATGAACAAAGATGCACAGACAAATACACTTACTATCTTGT